ACACACACACACACACACACACACATACACAATGGGTATTATTCAGCCACAAAGAAGAATGAAATCATGTCATTTGCAGGAAAATGGATAGAACTAGAAACCAAGACCATAATGTTAGGTGAAATAAGTCAGATACATGCTTTCCCTTATATGAGAAACCTAAAATATAAATAAATACAAGGGTAACCACTCCTCGACCTTTTGGCTAAGATCAAGTGCAATGAATACAAGGGTAAAATAAAGACCAAGATGGTAGGAAACAAAAAGGCAGACATTTTGGACATGGGATAGGGGACTGAGGGACACGGAAAGGTAGAGAAGAGAGGTAAACGGATCAAAGATGATCAAGATATGTTAAATACATGTACCAATTCCCCGCGGCTATTATAACCGTCATGCATTCATTGTAAACAAACTAAATCTTAAAAAAGCGAAAAATACTAAGTTGGGGACTGTCTGTACATAATGAATTTGAAATATTTCCCTGTCTGCAATTTCAATCTGCCCTTCGATCCTTAAGTATAAAACAACCAGATAAAAGTTCTTTTAACCAAAGATAATGAAGTCTAGCCACTCACAATTTTCATCATTTTCATTTTTTTCTTCAGCAGGGAAGCTTTTTAAGACAGAGTCAACACCGGGCAACCTGCAGCGCTTCTTCTTTCTTCCAGTGCTTCTCCTGAAGAAGATAACCACAACTGACATAAATTGGGACATCACCAGGTATGGGGCTTGGGATCAAAATAAGAAAATTAACAATGATTCTGTAATGTCTTGAAACTTCCATTTTATAACGTAAATAGTGATCTCCACTTTAGAATATTATACAATAACTACCCTGAAAAGTTATTTAGAATATATAGGAATTCTTCATTCACATAATTCAAATATTACTTAATAAACTTGCTATTTTATTACTTTTATACCACAACAATTCGTAACACTAAGAAAAATGTATTGAATAACATTTGTATTCTTACAGGCGAGCCACAGCTTTTCTTGCCAATTTACGCTGTAATCTACGATTTTCATCTGTATCACGAAGCACATGATCTTCAGCTGCCCATCTATCCCAGCTAATTGAACAAAAAAAGAAGAGGGTGCAAAGTTCAGTGTTTTGGTTTCATATGAAACAAAAGCTAAAAGCACCTCAAAGGAACTGAAGGGCCCGTCTCCCACAATTACTGCATTTTTAACAACTACACAGAAACCTTAATATCACAAAGTTTCAAATAAACTTAAAAAGCAATTCAGACACAGAAACAATCAGGGTTTCCAGAACCACTCACAGAAAATCTAAATATAATGGACTTAAAGTAATCATTCCTCAAAATAGGCAAGCTCTGAGGACAAAGCAAAAACAGGAAATGAAACTTTCTTACAAGTGTTTCTAAAACTTAAATAAGTCTGCAATGTTTTTATGCTACAAAGGCGATCAACACTCAGTCTGGTTTAACAAGTATACTCACCTTCTGTTCCAACCATTAAAATGGATTAGATATTCTGGGATCTTTCTGCCTTTTTCGTCTTTCCCAACAATAACATCGACAATCTGAAACCAGGAAATATTGGCCACGAATGTCAGAACACACCAAAAATGAGAAATTAGATCAGGAAAACTGTATCATAGTGCTATTTTAAAAGAAAAGAGCGCATTCTCTCCCTTTTTAGAACGAGAGCTGGGTTGAAACATTTTTCCTTTCAATACCATTTTTTCCTCCGAGTGGATACCTTAAAATAGGAAACATCCGTCTAACCTCGCCATGATTGGGCTCTGAATTTGAGACCGGGTGAAGCTTCTTAAGTCAATGGCCCGCGGATCTGTCACTAATAAGAGCGCAGACCAAACCAGAGAGCTGCAGCCCTGGTGCCTCTGGGAGTTGTAGTTTCCCGCGCTCCACTGTGGCCTTTGCCCAAATGGGCTGTCAAGAGACTTGGAAACCTCTGCCGTCTTTTTCCCCCGAGAGAACTGGGGCAAATGATGGGGCGCTTCCACCGTGGAGAGACTCGGGCGGGGTCGGGCGGGAAGAAAGGTAGCAAAGGTACTCTGAAAACCGAGACGAGGGCTGCAGGGGAGGGGCCCAAAGGTAGAACAGAAACAGCCGGGCGACTTTGGAGTGTCCCATAGGACAGAGCCTCCCAAGCTTCACTAAAGACGCACCCGGGGCCGCCTTCTGTCCCTGCCACCAAAGGTTTCGCCCTGGTGACGCGAGAGACTGGGGCCAACTACCATCCCCAAGGCGCTTAAGTGCACTTTCCTTGGGGGCCCGGGAGGACTTCGGTGACCATTCCTACCCGCCATCCAGACCTGAGGCGCTGAAGATGTGGCTTAGCTCCAGACACAAGCCGATGGGCAGACGACGATTCTGCCCTGACATGGTCAGGCACGCAACTCCTTCAGGGTTGCAAATAACAATGCAAGGCCCCGAGGACCGGAGGCACCAGGGAAACCTTGCCCTCTGGGTAGGGACTGTGGTCTACAGGACTCAACTCGACTCAGGTCGCGAGTCGGTGGTTAATGCTGTGGAGCTGAGGATGAAGACCCATGTAGGACTGCCAGAGAATCCCGATGGAGCCCAAGCGGCGCCGGGCCTCACAAGAGGAAACATCACAGGTCAAAGACCCTAGGTGTACACAGTCCGCCTTGGCGCCTCGGGCTCAAATCGCCACCCCGGTCTCGCGACCGTGAGGGCGCGCCGCTGCCTGACGGGAAGCGGAAGCGGAAGGGGAAGCATCACGGTCCCCGCCCCGACTCCGCCCGCGGCGCTCCGCAAGCGCCCCCTGTTGCCCGCGCTACTCCGCGCAGGCCAAGGAGCCCGGCCGCTCCCGAGGCTCCGCGCCGCTGTCCGCCCCCGCCCCCGCCGCCCATCCCCGGGACCCCAGCCCGCGCCTCCTCCCTGTCCCTCCGCGGCGGCACCTTGGCATCGTAAAGCACTCGCGCCTTGGTGGGGTCAGGCTCGAAGCACAGCACTTTCTCCCCTGAGTGGAATTTAAATTTCATGCCCTCGCTTGCGCTCATTTGCTCATCGTGGCGGAGGGCGAGGCTCCGGGGCGGGTGGAGCCCGCGCGGTGGGGGAGGGCGGGCGGGGAGGCGGCGCTCCGTGGTCAGGGGGGGCCGGGAATGGCGGAGGCTGCGGCCGCCCCGCCCTCGGCCCCTCCTCCGGCCACCTCGCGCCACTGCGGGGACCTGGGAGAAGCTGGGCGCGCGCACCCCCAGCCGGGGGCGCCCCCGCCTGTCCCCCCCGGGGCTCTTCGAGGGCTGCTGGCGCAGACCGCGATCTTCCGGCCGAACGTCCCCTCTCGCCCCCATGGGAAACGGTCCCCGCGTCCTCCTGGCTGCGCCCACGTGCGCGCAAGATCGTCACCCCTGGCGCGCGCTCTCCGGCCTAGGCGCGGGGCCCTCTTAGGGAGAGAGCTGGGCCGGGGTGGGCAGCCGGCGGCGGGGAGCTGCACGCCGACTGCCCTCAGGCGCTGCCCGGCTGCGCGCGCGCGCGCGTCAGTCCCCTTGGCAGAGCTGCGCGCTGAGCAGTGTGGCCACGCGAGAAGGACGTTGTGCTGGAGCTGGCTCGAGACCACCAGTGGCCTTGGGCGAGGGGAGGAGGAGGACTTCTCAGGCTGTGACTGGAACACTTGGTCACCCTTCCAGCGGACAAGCAGGTGGCAGGCGCGGAGCCCTCAAGTCACGGGGTGAGCAGTGTGGACAGCGTGGCAGATGGGTCCCTAAAGAGTCTTTAACGTTTTAAGTGTCCGCTTGCATTACTCCCGGAATTTTCCCCTGGTCATCCCTCTTCAGTAGACCAAAAACTCCCCGAAGACCGGAAGCGCCATGAAGGCCACTGTTAGCACAGTACCTGCCCAGAAAGGATGCTCAGTTAATGCACGGCGATGGGGAACTTGAAGGGCAGACCTCCAGAGAGACGGGAAGGAATGGCGCTGCCCTCTTTCTCTTTGAGGAGTGGAAAGCCTTGGGCAGTGTGTTTATTGGATTAAAACCCGGCTGGAGAGCAGCAAGGAGGCTAATCTCTGCAGTCCTGGTGAACTGACCGTTTTCCCACACTACTCTGTTCTTGCCTCCTCCCCCTTCCCACTCTTGCTTCCCCAGCTTCCGGGTACACATCCTTCACATTTCAGCTTGAGCAGTGAGGAGAGAAAAGCCTTCGGGCTTCCCAAGAACAAGCATACCCACCTCCAGTGTGCCCTCCCAGTACACTACTTACCCTTTTTCTTGTAACTTTTGCTGTAGAATGGGTTGTCCATTTGCAATGTGCCCTCATTAAGATGGCAAGCTCCTTGAAGCTGGGGTTGGAAGATAGCTCATCCAGTTCATCATTGTATACTCCTGTCACAAATAAATATTAAATGAATGAATGAACAGATTGCAGAATTATGAAATAGAATACATAAAACTCAGTGGCTAATTGGATATGACAGAAGGTAGGGAAGGAAGAATCCTGGGTGACATCCAGGTTTTCTGACATAAAGAGCTGGTATAGTGAGCTCCACTCGCCAGGATAAGAGCCAGGAGAAAAGAGACAGGTAAGATGGCCAAATAATGACCTGTGTAATACAATGCAGAAGATAGAACTAGAACTACGATCCCCTCCGGGTTGTGACTTTTCATAAAGGAGAGGAGTAAATGGCCATGCCCCCCCCCCCCAAATGGCACAGGCAGCTCTGAAGTACAGGTAATAGCATGCCATGTGTACACCATAATCGAAGTATTAACCTTTGGATTTTTCTTACCTATTAATGGAGAGTTCTACTCCTGGCTGTATCATCTTCAGGGCAAGTCTTTTAGACCCTTTCTTTCCTTTCTTCATTCCTACCCTTGTGGGAGCACTGTCTGCTTTGTCCTCGAAAAAGCCCAAGGATACCAAAGCCTCTGGAGCCTAAAAGCTACAAATGTTGCCAATGGCAGCACATTTGCAGCCCCTCCCTCGGTTAGGACTCACTGAAGAGAGCTCTCTATCTCTAACACAGTGTGTATCCTTTGTCCTCTGGAGTATAAAGGTTTAAGAATACAGTGAGCCCTGGAATCCATTCTCTGTGACCTAGTCTCAGAGATTGTCCCTTCCTAGCTTGCGACCTTGGACAAGTGATTAATCTTTCTATGATGCAGTTTTATGTTTAAAATGAAGGGCCTGGGATTTAGCTTAGTGGTTCTGACGCCTGCCTCGCAAGCGCAAGGACCTGAGTTCGATCCCCAGTACCCCCAAAAAATAAATAAATAAAATAAAAAATAAAATAAAGAGAATAGTGGTGCCTACCTCATAAAGTTGTTTTAGGAATAAATAAGTCTGCCCAGTCTATCACCTGGCATACAAGTGCTGAGTAAATGTTTACTGTTAATGTTAGGCATATTCATGGTCCCCTATTTATTCATGCAATAAGTGCGTATTGGAGCTTTTTCATACTGGGTACTAGACATACAAAGTAGAATATCTACATTACTCTGGGCTTCCATAGGGCACATTTAAGGTGACAGAGCCGCCTGCCAGCCTTATGCATACCGGGATAAAGCTAGTGCAGTGCGTAAGAGAGGAGGCACAGTTTCTTATGTCTCCCTGGGAGGAAGGCACTGTCTGAAGACCCAGACAAGAACTTGCTTTTCAGCTGGAATGTTTAAGGAGATTTCCTCATTTTTCAGTTTTTGCAAGGGATTAGGAGTTTAAAACAGCCCCAGATCTCTTACAGCAATGTCTCTTTTACTTTTTGCTGCAGGTCACCTAATGGGCAACTGACCTAGGGCGATCCCTTCTCCTAACTATAGCAAGGTGCATCCTCAGGGTGATCCAATTAGTTGTGTCTGCCCTATCTCTGTTCTTGCTGTCCCAACTCATTTTCTTTTCTTTTCTTTTGAGATAAGGTCCCTATATGTTGCTCAGGCCGGCCTGGAACTCCAGGGCTCAAGGGTTTCTCCTGCCTCAGCCTCCTGTGTAGCTGTGATTACAGGCAAGCACAACCCCACCCAGCAGCAGAGCCCGAATTTTGTGCCTGTTTGCTCTTCCACTAGGTCCCCTTGATTACACTGATACAGTAGGGCTTATTTTGTACATTTGGAACAGCTGCGGAAGTTTTAAAATACACTGTTGCCAGGTATTGGAATTTTCTCTCCAAAGCTCCAGGATAAAGTCTGAACGCCAAGGACGGGGAAACACGAGGATAAGCCAATCACAACAATCCTTTTCCTCCTGCTGTGATTGGTTGAGATATGATACGTGATCTATTCCTAACCAATGAGAGGTTTTCTGGTCAAGCGACTGAGTAGGGGGAGGAAGTTTCTGGAAGAGGTTCTCTCCTTTTCACCCCAGACCTAAGTATGACTTAAAAGTCTCCTCTTCCTCACTGGAGACTAATGTCTGCATAGGAACGTGAATAAGTGCTACCGCCATCTTGGCACCACCGCGAAGCTGGTTGTTGTCATTGACACTTTGAGGATGAGAGAGCCCAAAGGTAGGGCTTGCTCCCCTGGTCTTGAATGCATCGTTGAGCCCCACCTCACTGAATTACCCAGTCCAGAGCCTAACTCCAGGCTTCGTGCTATGTATGTAGCATAAGCCATCCCTGTGCTGCCCAAAACATCCTGATGCCAGCTTCTCTGCCATTGTAGAGAGTTATCGGCATCTAGCAAAATCTATACTGCTAATTTTGGTGACATCGGTAAGATAGACCTTCAACAGTGAGAATGGGTTTTTACATGAATGTGCAGACAAAATGGAGCACATTTAAAATAGTGTATCACCATGTATTCGGAATAAACACACTTTGGAAACGAAGGTAAACTGAATCCCCCACTTTTGATACAGTTTCAGTCTACAGCCATGCCACCCTGAAAGCCGATTTCATCTGACACAGTTTAAACTGAAATGTCTATTTTATTTTATTTTTTGGCATGTCTATTTTAGAAACAAAATGAATTTTGGGACCAACCCATTTATAGAATTCAGAACAATCTATGAGGGCCAGGGATTTAGCTCAGTGTTTCTGCCACCTGCCTCGCAAGCAGAAGGACCCGAGTTCGATCCCCAGTACCAAAAAAAAAAAAAAAAAAGAACAATCTATGATTTTACAACCAGATGACCTCACAATTAGATATTTTTATTTTGGTCTTTGGTATTATACAGATCTACATTCTAAGACTGTAGTTTGTGGTTAATGAATATTCTGATAAAAGTTGCAGGGATCCTTTTACAATGCAGCCAGGCATTGGTACACTGCTGTAATACGAACTGTTGGAGTTTGAGGTGGGAGGATGGCAAGTTCAAATCCAGCCTGGCCAATCTAGTGAGACCTTATCTCGAAATAAAAAAGGCCAGGTGTGTAACTTAGTGGCAAAGTGCTTGTCTAGCATGTACAAGGCTCTGAATTCAATCCCCAGTATCAGAAAAAAAAAGTTGCAGTGCTTCCTGATCCTTGTTTGCACTTCTCAATTGGAAATGACTTTCATTGCTTTTTGGTTTCCACTCTTATTTCTACAAATTGGATGTAGTTTCAAGGTAAAAGCAAGAACTCTACATTGCAGTTCTATTATGATGAAAGGGTTATAGATAATACACACCAATTCCCTCCAAACCAAGGCCACTAGAACATACTTGTTGAACTTGAACAAGTTGAATTTATTTCTCATTTCAGCAGGGTAGAAGGTGTGTCATGGGACCTGTAGGCTTCTGGGGAGGTTCAAAAGGGCATACTGGAAGATTGGTTTTGTTTAAGTGATTGGGGGTGAGGGATTAAAGAAGCAGGGTTTTGCTTTGGGTTGGATGCTGTCAGGGAGAGGTGAGGGGATTTTATGCCTGGGTGTTTGAGTATATCTTACCTAAGAGGAAGAAAGGCAAGACTGACTTTGAAACTATAGTTGATAAGAAGTGGCTGTTGCTCATAATTGCCTGGAGAAGAGACTGCTTTGGATTTGTGGTTTGGCGAGTAGTTGTGTTTTGTCTTGTGTTTAGGCGTGATTATCGAGTGGTCTTGTTTTTGTTTTGATCCATCATGCTCCCTAAGTGGTACTGTCTGATATTCCCTGACATTATGCAATAGAATAGCCAGGCACAGGTGTGACTGCCTGGCCAGTTCCCGGGTGGTGCTTCTTTTGCTGTTGTTGTTTTTATTGTTCTGTTTTGTTATTTTCCTTTAATGATCAAAGTTTGTAGAGTGTTTACTATTGATAGGCACTGTGCTAAGCACTTTGCATATTTAGATCAACTGGTCCTTAGGACCTTATGAGGTGGTATTAAGGTGTAGAAACTGGGAGCTGAATTGCTAATCAAATTGTCCCAAACTGGGGTGTGAGTTTAGGCTGATGATAATAGTCTTTGTCACTCCTCCCCACAAACCATGCAGCTATGCTTGGGCAGTAAGTCTCAGGACTCAAATCACTGTCACTTTATAAATAGTAAGGGTATTAATATATATCATGTCTGTCTTGGACCAGAAGCCAATCATAAGTGTGAACCAAGTTATAGCAGCATTATGTATATTATGAAACCACTTAAAATTATGTTAACGAAAATATGTATTGACATGTAAAAGCTGCTAATAATTTGGTAATAATAAACAGAGCACATTACAAAACAGAATTTGGGCCACCAGCGGAACTTTGTAAAGCTGCTATTTGGATCCCTTGAATTGAAATATCAGGGTGGCATTCTAGCATCTGTGTACTCAAGAATTGGTACTTTTTTTTGGTACCAGGGATCCAACTCAGGACCTTGCACTTGCAAGGCAGGCGGTGGCACCACTGAGCTAAATCCCCTGCCCCAAGAATTGGTACTTTTATGTAGGCTAAGCCTAGTATTTGTCTGAGGAGTAGACCAAGGAGGTACTTGTCAGGCTTTGCTGTTATATGATCAAGAGCATTAATGCCAGCACTCAGGAAATAATTGGGTCCTGATGAATGCAGATCTGTGGGACATAGTTATTTAACATTCTCTTGCAACACTATACTTAATGACAGTCCGTTGGTAGTTTGAAGATGGATGATTATTTATACCATTGGCAAGTTTGAGTAAAGCCATCTGGGGCCTAAGATTTGTTCCTGGTGACAAGTTCAGAAAATAACTCTTGCTCCTTAACCTTTTTATTCAGTATTGAATGTTCAAATCTGAGGCTTGCTCTCTGAGTAACATCACCAAATAATAATAGCAGCTATTTATCAAGTGGCTACGTACCAGGTTTTGCATTTGTCACTTCGTTTAACCCTTTAAACACCCCTCCAGGGTAAGTCTTATTATTTCCAATTAAAAACAAAAAAAATTAAGGCTCAGAAATGTTGTGGGGCTTGTACAAGGTAGTCCATGAATACATGTCAAAACAGCGAGGTATTTTCCAAGCGCATTCTGATTCCCATGTCCTGCTTTCTCAGTTTCCTCATTAGCATCCCGACAAGTTTTACCAGCTTTGAAAGAGGCTTGTAAAACTCTAAAGAGGTTTCCAGTAGCTGTTTCTTTATGCTGCTATGTAATCTGCGCTCTCTGCACCTGTGACATATCAAATTAGCACCAGCACAGGGAACAGGATTTGCATCAAAAAGTCATTTTAGTCTTCATGATATTCAGAGTCTATCAGCTATAAAAGCCAGATTAGAAGAGTACAGTTCCAATTCCAGAGAAATTTGCAGAAAATATATTTTAAAAGGTTCAAAATAGCAAATCAGCTTTCTAAAACGTTGACTTAAATAACAGTCTACTAATGCCTCTGAAATTTGAAAGCCTAGATGGAAGTTTGGTGTAAAAGTTTTAAAGGGAACATTGAATGTCTCACTTATCTGAAATATGCTTTACTGAACGCTAAGATGGTGTTTCTGTTTAAGATGATTGTATACTTGACTGATGTAATATAAAATGACTATAGTAAATCCCCAATTTAAGAGTATTCGAGCT